AAACTGGGCATCATTGCCTGGGCGCATCGACAACAACTTTTGACGGTCGAAGGCCGTTCGGCCTTTGTCCGTCTGTAACACAATGTAGTCAAAGAAATCGAACAGTGTGCCTGCGGTCTACGTTGGACAATCGAAGTGTTGCTGGTTCTGCGTTCTGCGGCTTCCTTTTCGAGGCGAACGATTTTTCAATATATTATCGAAACCAATCGAAACCAAACGAACAATTTTTTAGAATATATCGAAACCAAACGAAACAAAACCAAACCAAACAAAACGAAACCAAACGAAACGAAACCAAACGAAGCGAAACCAAACGAAACGAAACCAAACGACACGAAACCAAACGACACGAAAATCGTTTGGTTTCGTTTCGTTTGGTTTTATTCCGAAACGACACGAGACGTGTGGTTTCGTGTCGTTTGGAAACCTCCGCTCTGTTCGGTGTTGTTTCGTTTGGCATGCGCGGTTTGATTCGGAATAAATAACTCTACTCTAGTTCCAACGCGTCACACGCCACACGCATCAGATGCAAACTCCCCGCAACTCCCTGGCAATCGTACGCGTCCGTATCAGTACGATGTATCTCGTATCCAACAGCACAGTCACCTTTATTTGTTCCTGGAAGTCAGTAAAACAAGGAATACCATCCAACAGTTTTATATTTTCCAGCAAACACAAAAAGCTCGCTCTCCGGCCATCAAGGAAATCCCCACCACGCCACAGACAGTACTGTATCATGGTTCCCACGAAGCTCCACTGCTTCTTTGCTGCTTTCGCCGCCTTCCTCGCCTTTTCGTCGGAGGCATTTTCTCCGCATTCAAATTCTGTTCGACAGCAGACTCTACTCTTCAGTATCAGTGACGATGAAGCCAAAAACATTGTATGGAGGCATGTGAAAAAGCCATTGCTACGACTTGGTTCGAAAGGGGCCTCTGCCTCGCATGGAAACTCACTCAAACAGCTTTTGGAAGATCATACTGCTGTCAAGGTCAAAGTGAACACCATGCCATATGACGGTAAGAAATTTTTATTTGGACCAAGTTGAGTATGAAATGTAGTCCGCACAAGAAAGATTCTGCACTGTTGCTGATGAAATGATCTTTCGTACCGGTATCAATCTATTCTACATGATGCAAATCTCTCATTTTGATGCCCATTTTTTAATGCCCTTTTTTGGTGCAACACAAAAACAAGGATCCCTACAGAATGCCTATGATGCACTTCGTGACTTGGCGGTGGAGAACGGCGCACCTGAGACGATCGAATTGATTCAGATGAAAGACAGCGACAAGATCGTTCTAATTGGATCACCAGGGATCATTGACCAAGTGAAGGCAGGATCATTTCCACCACCACCACCGCCACCACCCCCTTCGCCGTCATCGTCAGACGAAAGGGAGGAATACTAGTGCCAGTACGGGCGGCTGCGAGACTGAAGGGCTTGTTGCTTTGCGTAGGATTATCCTTCAAACTGTACAAAATTTTACAAGATTATAGTGAAAGTATGACCATGAACGAATATGGAGCTTCGAACGCGATGTGACTGCGATTCATCATCGCTGCGCCAGCAATAATACCACAGTTGCAGCATCATCTAATAACCCTTGTACAAGCCATTCAAAAGGGGGAATACAAGCATTTTTTGGTTAAAACCAGTCTACCGGTAATGCATACTGTAAGCACGTTCTCAACCTAGTATCGTCTCTATCCCCGAAGCTGTAGGAGTTTTGAAACTATTATTTGTTCCTGTCGACGGAGTTGGTCGCCCAATTTGGAAATCCGTTGTTGCCACTGATAAGGTGGCAGCAGGACAGCATAAGGATGATGCTGGACGCCTGGAGGATAATTAGACATTGGCTGATATCCATCCGGCAATGAAGAAGTTCGTGATGGGCCAGCAGTACCGGTAGGCACATCTGATGACGAGCCACTATGTTTCTTTCCCATGATGGCCCATCGAAAGTTCAGTGAGTCTAGTTTTGCTTCCCGTTCTTTCGTCAAACTGTTCTTCATCCCCCGTTGCTTCCTAGAGTACTCGCTTCGTTGATTGAAGACCCAGTTGCTAAGCTTTTTTATCCATCAGTTGCAAAACAAAATGTCAGTAAGATATAAATACTGGAGCGAACACTAAAAGCATATTAGGAATTCTCACCTTGGGATCTGCCGGATATGGGCGTGGGACATGAGAATCCCCATGCTTTGCTTTGAATTCGCAGAGCCTCTTGTATTGGTTGTCCCTTTGGACACAAACGAAACGATTCAATCCGATTTGAAGAGAGTTAGTGAAATCGTATAGACTCTTTTAAAAAATGTAATACTCATTTGGGCGCTTACCATGATGTGTTGGACGGGTGCCATTCAAAGCCTAACTCATTCAACTGCTTTTCCCTAACGTCAGTCAGATTAGTTTTCGTTCCTTTAGTTTTCAACGTTGCTAGGTATCGCTGTTTTTGGACCCATTTACTTAGCTCTATGTTCTTATGACCATGTGGTACATCACAGTTGCCATATTCGATCTTATATTTCACAAGTTGCGCGTAGCGAATGTCCCATGCATCATGTTTCATGTTCCAAGAAAAATCTATGGATTCCAGAAGTTTCTGGCGTTCTGGTAGCAGGGTTCCCTTGGCCCTCGCAGTTCGCTGGCGGTTCACCCAGCCTCCCAAACCTTTCCTTCTGCTATAATTCTGTGGCACGTTGCAGTGGTGATGATCCTTCTTGAACTCTACTAGTTGGTCGAACCTGGCTTGCCATGCAACTGACGGAGAGGATGCTTGCTGGTTCCATTCAAAACCTAGGACGCAACGAGAAGACTATGTGAGTTACTGTGAATCGTAATATGGATGTAAATGCGGAATTGAAGGGCTTACCAATGTCGTTCAGCAGTGTCTCTCTCTCCCAACCCAAAATGTGCTTGTTCATTGCTTCACGCTGTCGATTGACCCATCTCCCAAGCGAAGGGTTACTCTTGAATCGTAGAGGCACACTGCAGTTTCCAAACTTGTTCTTATATTCGATAAGTTGTCTGAATCGATTATTCCATGCTTTATCATGCTTCGACATCGGTGCGAGTCTTTGGATTGCTTGATGACACTTTCTTGTGAGAGCTGAAAACATGGGATCAAAATTTTTCGGGAAGCACCATGTTCAACTGTGAAAAGGTGAAAGGAGACCCGAGGAAAATTCTTTCGGTGGTCGCATGAGCGAATTGCGATATTTTTTGTCGTGGTAACGCGCAGTATTTTCCTGAAGAAACTTCTTTGGCTAGGAAAAGATGCGCCACAACGGAAGACTTCTGCGACTGACTGAATGTCACGAATACACTGAACGCACAATGATTGGACCCATTCGACCCGTGAATGAATTGACAACAAAATACGATTTGTTTTTGTCATGCTGTTCCTAATTTTACAGCAGCGCGTTGGAGACGACAACAACAGCAATGTCTGCTAGGCAGACGACAAATCTTGCTCTGCTAATTTCGATTGCATAGACACAACGAGCGCCTGTGGACAATTAGCAATAACGGGAGACTGTCAATCCAACCCTCTGTGGATGCAAACAAACTGTCCCTTGAGCTGCAGTCACTGTCCAAAAGACTATGGGTATGTATACGAGGTTCGTCATTGTCATTGCTACAAATGATGCAACACTAACTATTTTATTTATGCTTCAACCATCATCCCCTGGACAATAGGTATGAGAATGAGATCGATTTCTTTTGCAAGCGTACGTACTCGACAAGGAAGAGTCTTACACTGAGGGTTTCGTTCACACTCTGTAGCAATTACAACGGAAAGAGGAAGAATTGATTGGACTGTACCCATCTGTGACATTCCAATGAAGAAAAAGGCTTACCTCCATTCAAGGCCCATGCAGCACACATCTTGTGTTCCACTTTGCATAGTTCCTTTAATTCTTTGGCAATTCTTAGGTTTTCCATATATTCTTCCGAGGATTCGAGCAACTCTACAACGTCATTGGGCTGGACTGGGAAGGATTGGTCGCCTTTCAACTCCTGCTGGACACTGCCTTGAAGCTTGCTAGATATGAAACGCAGCTGTGCTCCTGTTTGTAAATCTAGTGAATACTTATCAGTGGAAGGGCGTTGTCCTCTTGATCCGAATGCGCCTACCGCATGGCAGCCACGAGACTTGAATATGATGTTCATAAAGCTCACAAACGAGCCATATCTGAACAAGCACATTGTTGAAACTCTATCATCTCCAGCAACAGATGGTCCATGGATTATAACAATGGAAAATATTGTTACGGAAGTGAGGCTGAACAATTGATTGGGCTTGGTGCTATAGAAGGATACAAGCGTTCTACCAAACACAGGAGTATGTGGAACGAATCTCACTGTGTTCTCTATCTCTGGTTTTACTTCGTCGTGAAGTTGGATGCGCTATTGAATCAGACCCCAGCATTCCCTGCGAGATTGTAGCTCTTGCTTGTTTGGGACAAAGGTTCGACGAAAGATTTTGGCGAAACGGACACGGTTTGGTTTTCTGGTGAACACACCAAACCAACTTCGGTTTTTCTTGCAAGACCCTTCTGGACGACGAAGGATGGAAACAAGAGGCTGTCGTCTGTTCCATTGCCTGCAAAGTCTCTGATAGGCTCGGTAAGTGTCGAGTACCATGTACCGAAGTAACACGATTGCGACTGCACCAAACCGGTAATGATGGTTTCTTGAACTGGTTGTTGTTGTTGTTGTTGTTGAGTGATGGCACTCATTCGAGGTAACTTGGGAAAGCTGATGCTTTTCAAGCTTTCTTGATTGATAAAGGTAGTGATGTAGTTGGTCATGATTGTTGTTGTTTTTGTATTAGTTGATTCAAAGAGGTTCATAATGGAAATTGTGAGGTGTTGTGTTGAGGTGTGGAGTGAAAACCACGGGTGGGAGATCGCCAATTTGCTGTGTTTTAACACGATTGACTCCTTCGAATCCTCGTTTGGTGGTCTCAGTGGATATGCGGTGTTTTGTACTGTACCGGTACCAGTACCAGGTAGGATGGATTGTTTTGATGTCATGATGGATTCGGGACGCTGATTGTAGAGTGTTGGAAGGTCAGACCATTGTCGATCATATATATATATGACGAAAGATGTCGACTGCATCTTCATTATCGTGCGGTGGGTCATTGATAGGTCGGTCGGATCGTTGAAAGGAGTACGAGTATGTGTATTTTAAAAAATATGTACACTACAGTGCGATACCGCAGTCGGAGTGGCTTTGATTTGTTTTCAGTTTCGACTTTTTTCGTCGTGTAATTTTCCAGAACTATTTTTCATCGCGTTTTTTTTTTTCAATTTTAAAAATGTTGCCTGAGAGCCGACCCGTTTTTGCATGACGACGAATAATGCATGCGACTAATGTAATGTGTACCTGGTAATCAGCCCATCGCATCGACCTTTATATATTGCAGTCTCACTGTAGAACATTGCAAGAAATTTCTACCTACGATGAATTC